TTAACCACATGACTTGATATCTACAATCATAAATTACATTGTAAGCATAGATTACCCATAAAACCCATAGCCATAATGTAGACAAAGATATTCTTACCAGGTTAGCAATTCCAATAGCTAAGAAATAATCTCCCAGAACTTCAACAGGCTGAATGTTTTCTGGGAGATCTATTCATTCACTAGAATATATGGCATTTGATATATAGACTGAGAGTTTTGACTATCATTTTCATCAGATTGAAAAATGATCAGCCTTTTAAAGATAGTTTTCTGATTCAGCTACTCACTGTGGGGTTCAATTACATGTATAGGATACCATTCAATTTTGCCCCATGTGTGACGACTGACACATGGAGTGCTTTCAGCTGAGATTTAGTAGTAATTCATCATCTTCTTCTGGTGGGACTTTTTAATCTTCAGCAAAAGAGGAATGAATGAATCTCATTCCACCTTACAACATTTTCACTTTGTGTTTAGCCTCCTTTTCTTTTTTTTTTTTTTTTTTGGAGAGATTTTCACTGTTTTTGAGAGATTTTCACTGGAGGGCACGTTCGCTCGCCAGACAGACAGAGACATAGAGACAGAAAGCGAGAAATCACCCCCCCAGGGGGGATGGTCACGCCGCAATCCCTTCTCCTCTCGGGATCTTGGGCATGCACACACACGCGCCCGGCATGAGTTTTAAGCCACCGGGTCCGGGACACGAACCGCGGTCGACTACGTGGAAGTCCAGCGACATAACCATTACGCTAACTGCTGGTTCCCCTAGCCTCCTTTTCTTTAGACCTTCAGAATTTGGCAAGTGTCAGAAAGTATTTTTTGAGGCCTTTCAAATGAATGATTTTGTCATTCTTATATATAATTACCAAAAACTCTGCTGACTTTTTAATCTCTAGTGTTTTTCTCAGGGAAAGTTCAGTAGAAAATCATTCATTTTAAAAACACTGAGAGTAATATAGGTAGCCATTTATGGCGATTTGCAGTGGGTTGTCACTGCAGAAATCATTAAGATTGCTCAGATTTGAAGTATGTGTTTATTTTGAGGTTAGACACAACAGGACGATGCTTGCCCATTGTAGTGTAAAATGAGGTTTTGTAAACATTTAGTTTTTAGTAGAATATGTTAGGTGAAAAAAGTGTTGAAGTTTAATTTTAATTTTTATAGGTTTTCACCATCTTTTAAATAAAATTAGTAAAAATTAAATGGTGTAATCAATTAAACATTAAGTTAAAGATTTTAGAGCATAGGAAGTGTTATTATTTTCTCATTTTTCTATTGGAATACTGATTCTTTTAGATATTTTCTTACAAATATGTAGTAAGTCTTACTGAGAAAATAAATTTTTGTGTATTGAATTGCTGTTTTACTTTTGATTTTGTTTTGTATTTTTATTTTTGTCATAAGAAGTTGCTTTGATATATACAGAGAGAGATGTAGTTACATACATATTTCTCCCATGAGGGACACTAGAGCAACAAAATAGGTAGGCACTTCAGTGGTATGTTCATGCTGCAGTTTAGCCAATGAAGGTCATAGGCATGCAGATTCCTAGTGTGTACAAGGAGAAATTGGGAAGTGAACCCAACAACTTTCCATGGGGCCTGAGCATCACATGTGTGTTACTGCTGCATCCCTATAGCTGGTTTTGTTTTGAAATAGATGTTTTTGAATTTTTTGATTTTTCTAGTATGGCTTCAGAAGTTAGAGTTTTGTATAATAATGTTTTCATTATTTCTGGTTTGAAAATTTTAATTTATATTTTATTGTACACCTTTGTGAGATACAATACAGTTTCTCAAAGCATTCATGGAGTGTATAGTAATCAAATCTGTGATATTGCTATGTTCATCAGAGAACATTACTTTATGTGTGCACCTTTAATTTTGGTTCAACTAGTTTCATGGAGATATATATACATATGTGTATATACACACACATACGTGCATGCATGCACACACACACACACACAAACACACACAAATTTAAGATTGTCAGCATCTGTTTCTATCTGTTCTGTATATTGTGGCATAACTCATTTGTTTGTATACATACGTTTTCATGCACTTCTCTTAAATTATTTCTTTTAAATATATCCCTCCTCCTCACTCCCATATAGTCTTTGGATCTATAGTTGCCCTGTCTAATTCTATATCTGTAAATATTTTAGTTTCTGCTGTAGAGTGCATCCATTCATTTATTTACTTCATATTGAATGACAGGATCTCTTTGTTCTTTATGGGTGAGTAGTATTCCATTGTGTATATGTGCCACATTTTTAATATGTTTTTACGTTTTATACATAAAGTATCTGTTACAGAAATTGTTTACTTACCTAGCTAAGTCACACAAAAGTTACTTGTTGCAAGCAGTTTACCCAGCTAAATCACAAAACCATAAACTCAAGATATCCAAATTACATTTTATTAATAAACCCAGTAAAAACTATTTATCAATCTTCATATAGAACTGCAGAAGAAATTAAAAAACAAACCTTGTTTGTAAAGAAACATGCCTGCATGTGAGGGATTCTGGTCTATTGTCAAATTAACTAGGATTGTCATATTTCTTCTATATATCAAATAAAAACCTTGAAAGTCAAGACCTTGACATTCTTAGAGACCACCTGTATTATTTATTTGTTTATGATTAATTCATTTTTATATAAAATCACTGTATATCATTACAGTATGTAAAATGAATTTTTCAGCATGAATATACTATATATTAGTTCAGTTAAATATATTGTTGTACACATTATCAACAACAAATAATTTTCCATTTTTGCATTCCTTAAATATTTTGCTCTTTTCTTTTCCCTCTTGATTACCTTCTTTCCTTCCTCCATCTCCCCCCAATACTGTCTCTAGTATCCACAATTTCTCTTCCTTTTTTTCATATCTTCCAATATTTCAGTTTCTGCCATAGAGTACAGACATTCAGTATATATTAAGTGGGGACAAATGTCTCTCTTTCATATTCTGGTTTGTTTTGCTTAGCAGTAAATCTTTCATATTCACCCACTTTCTATCAACTGCCAAGATCTCCTTGTTTTTTATGATTGAGTAGTATTCAGTAGTATTTATGTGCCACCCCTTTTCAATCTATTCTTGTGTTCATGGATGCTTGGGTCAGGTCCATATCTTAGCAATTGTGAATAATGCCATAGTAAACATGGGTGTGCTAGTACTTTTCCAATTGAATGTATTCCTAAACTTTGGATAGATACTCAGGACTGGAAGTGTTGGATCATATGGTAGTTCTATTTGTAGGTTTTTGAGGATTCACCATATTGTTCTTCAAAGTGGCTGAACTAATTTACATTCCCACCAACAGTGTAGGAGAGTGTCCTTTTCCGAACACCTCACTTGTCCTTATCATTGTTTATTTCCTTAATCTTAGCCATTTTGACTAGGGTTAGGAGGTATCTCATTGTGGTTTTGATTTGTATCTCCCTTGTGATAAGGAATGTTGAGCATTTCTCATAATTTTTTTACTGTTTTTATGTTTTCTTTAGAGAGGTTGAGCTCATCTTTTAATTGGGTTAATCTTTTTTTTTTTTCTCCCAGGTGCATTACTTGAGTTTCCTGTATATTTTAGTTATTAGACCCCTATCTGAGGCATACTCTGCAAATATATTTTCCCACTTTAAGGATTGACAATTCACTCTAATTCTTTCTTTTGTCGTACAGAAGCTTTTGAAATGACATGTTTCCACTTATTTATATTTGGGGTTATTGCCTATGCTTTGGGGGGTCTTACTGAATAAGTCCTTCCCTACATCATGAG